CTCTATTTCCTTTCCCTGTAGGTCACTTCAGCTTAATTACTGTTTTACACTCAGAGGCATTTGTAACAGCTGTCTGTTTTACCCCTCCTCAAGCCAGGTGGCTCTTTCCCATGTCTTTCCACCTACTTGATGACTTTAGTCTATGTTTTCCAATTAAGTAAAGACCGATGTAGAAAACAGCAGGGGTTTCTATTTTAGTGTCTTTTCTCATGGATGCTTCTGGGGTTAGTACATCTCTGCTCCTCTAACGCTCTATTCCCAGCTGGATGAGTCCCATGAACTAGGATGGCTGAATGTTCTTTTCCCAGAGGAAGTCAACCTGACGTAGGTTCAGAAATTCTCAGGCATACCTGAGCCAGTGTAATGTCTCTATTATTATGAAAGTTGGCCCAAAGTGATGAAAGCATTTGTTTGGATCTAATGTTCTCCATAGAACTAAGATACTAAGTGGGTTTGGTTTTTCCTTTTAGGCTGCAGGACTTAGCGCAGGTCTCCTATTGCCATTTCTTATGCTGAAGGGAATGGGGTTTATATGAATAGTAGAGAGCTGTTATTTGAAAAAATAAAATTATTTTGTAGTTTTGTGGTGAGCTGAAGACCAATAGCTATGAACACCTTCTTAATTCATTTCAAGATGGTTTCTCCCTCACGATGTCAAGAACACCTTTCACCTCTATTCTGATGATCCCGACAATTAATGATTGGTGCTAACTCTGACCTCTAACTAGATTCAGCTACCTACTTCACATTTCCACTTGGACAAGCACCTCAATGGCATATGTTCAAAACTGAACTCATGATCCTCTTCATCCCATAGACCTAGCTCTTCCCTTAGCATTTCCCATTTCAAACACTGGCTCTGCAAATGCTGATAGCACTTGTTGTTCAGGACAGAAATTTGTCTTTGTCCACTGCTGTATCTCCTACACCCAACACAATACCTTACACATAGCTGATACTTAGTATTTTTTTCATGAATATTGAATAATTTTATGGAAACTGCCATTAAATAAGACTCTCAACTTCCTCAAAGGCCAGTGAAGTGGATTATGGTTTATTCAAAACCCTGTGCAAATTTTTACTGCCTCTAAAATCCAGGCTCTTTCCTCATGCCAAAGCTACCACTATTTACTCAAACAGTTGAATGCCTCCTAAAATTCCCATCATTATTGTGCATCAACATGCAGTTAAATGAATGAATTGATTATAATTTTCTCTGCTCTACCAAATTTCTACTTCTCAAACTGTGCTTCATGAATGTGTCACTGCTAGAAAATGAACACTAACTGTGCATTCAGGGCATTTAAAAGCCAATTTGAGTGAAAATGTTGATATCTTGATAGGAAGGATTTGAGCTCTAAGAAATCTAAGCATTTTTGAAAGCAAATTGTGTCATCAGACTGAAATTACATGCAAAATTATCTAAACTATTTTACATATGATAGACAGCCACACTTTGTAGGAGATGAAGCTTTCAAAATGTAGGGGATGAAGTTGAACAATATCAACCTCCAGTTAACTACCTCCAATCCAAGTCTCTGCTCATGGAAACAGGCATAAGATGCAACTATGGTACACAATAGTGAAGACTTCAGGTAAAAGTGGAAGATGCTATTACAGTCCTGATCGTGTACATGGAGCGGTAGTTGCATTTCATCTATTATTTTAGAGACTCTCTTTTGAGTACTTAATGTGGTAAGATGCATTATTCCCAGATTTGGTCCATTACTTTTCTATGCATAGTACAAGCAGAGCAGAGCATACCTTGGAGGAACAAAGGAGACTTCTTACGATGCTGAGCTTTCCTTGCTCCAGACCACCTTGATTACATTAAATAGTTGCTAGTTAACTAAATCCCTTGGAAGTTTACCACTAACTGTTTAGCCATCACACCTTGAGGGCAAACAATGTAACTCCTCAGTCACCTGCTCTCTGATTTGATCATTCTCAGTTCATGCTTTTGGCTATTCAACAAGATCCTGAAAAATAAGTAATGAAACCTGCACGTGAATTAGAATCCTTCAATTCCAAAAGTAAAAATCCAAGGTATTGTGTCCATTTGAATAATTAAAAATTTTTAACAAGAAGTTTCCTAGATATGATTAGGTGAGAGTGCCTTGTCTCTACTTAGTTGGGATGTTATTGCATTCCATCACTGACCTCCTTTCTAGGCCACAAATATTTCAGGACAGTGACAATAGGTAACATTTATTGAGCACTTATGGTGTGCCAGTTACCTTACTTAGATAAGGATTTCTCAATCTTGGCACTATTGAAATTTGGATCAGATAATTCTGATGTGGGCCTTTAGGATGGTCTTTGTGATCTTTGTTAGGCAAAGATTTTTTTAACTACAATACTGAAACCATATTTCATACAAAAAAAATTGATAGAGAAATCAGACTTCATCAAAACTAAAACCTTCTGTCCTACAAAAGACACTGTTAAAAGAATAAAAATGCAAGTTAGGACTTGCAGACTAGGAGCAAATAACTGCAAGTCACATATCTGATAAAAGACTTGTATCTAGAAGATATAAAGAACTCTAAAAACTCAAAAGCAAAAAAAAAACAAATAATCAAATTAAAATGAGCATAGGACCTGAACATTTTCAAAGAGGACATACAAACGGTACATGAAAAGGCGTTCAACATCACTAATCATCAGGGAAATGCAAGTCAAATCGACAATCAGATGTCACCTCACATCTGTTAGCATGGCTATTATCAAAAAAGACAAGAATGTCAGTGTTGTTGTTCTATTTCCAGGAGCATCCCAGGTCCCTTCCCAGCCCCACCACACACCCAACTGTCACATCAAAAATGTCTCCAGAAATTGCTAAATATTCTCTGGTAGACAAAACTCCCTCCAGTTGAGACCTACCACCTTGGATATATCAACTTTATTATTAATTCTCTAAACAACTCCATGAGGGAAGTTGTAGGTGTACCTCACTGTAGGTGAGGCACAGACAGATTCAATAATCAGCCTAAGTCACATAGCTCTAGAGATACCGCTGGTATCTGATTCCAGAGCCCCAACTCTTAACTGTTGCCCTAGAGACTTGACACCTTTTTGACTTTTTAGGCCTTAAGGAAAAGAGGCTTGCTGGATCAGGATCCCTTCCAGAATTACTGAAAAAGAACTGCTTTGGCAGTGAAGACAGATTTAGAGATTGTAACTGACTGGAAAGTAAGAAGGGGAGTAAGGTTTCCCCCTAACCATATATATCTGAGTCACAGTAATGGAAAGAAGGCATTTTTAAAATGGAGGATAACCACTGTGTAAACAATCTGAAATCCCACAGCTTGGTAACTTCATTTTTCTACTTCCTAAATCATTTTTAGATTTAGGTAGAATAGATGCTGAGAATAATTTAAGCACATCCTCTCTTAAGTATCTGGCCCACCAGCCAGCATAATTCTCATTATTAGATTCTCCCCTTTAATTGGAGATTTATATCTTCCAATTAGAAAATTCATCTGCAGATGACCCTTGTTAAAATGCTAATATCCATATTAAGCTCTGTTAGTCTTCGTTTAAATAAATTAATCAAATTAGTGAGTCATTTAGCAAGCCATCAGGAAGTAAATTACAAAACATAAAACTCTTTCCCCCTCAAATTCCAGAGTTTTTCCCTCAAAATGCACACGGATCCCAGGCTATCCAAGAAGGCTGCGCAGCAGACCTGCTACTTGGTAGCAAACTATAAATGGGTGAAAATGCCAAGTAGCACTGCTGCTCCTTGAACCAGCTACTCAGACTGCCTTCTACTTGAATGACGCACAGGTTTCTAAATGCATTTGCAAGGAATTTGCTACGCACATGGTTTTTTCCTGGCCCTGGCTTCTCCAAATATCTTGTAGAACACAAAATTTCACCATCTTCCATGGGACAAGAGACAGAGGGTGAGGGTGCTCCTTGCTATCTTGTATCTTATGTGGGGAGACAAAGAATAATTTTATTCCTTCTCCCTACTCAGTACCTCTCAATAAACGCAAGTAGACAATCCCTTGTTTTCTTTGATCCAGAAAGTGTCAGTCACTACATTAATAGCCTTCCTATTTGGAGGTGACTATTGTGAGAATTTTTTTTCCAAAAAAAGAAGGAAAGTATAAAATGCAACTGAAATTTAAACTAGGCTCTGTAATTAAGCACTTTAAATCTGTCCAAAACAATTTTCAAGCATTTAAGTGCTAACAGAAGACTTCAAAAGTAGGTAAGAAAATCAGACCCCAGGTTCATAACTGATGTAACAGGAAAATTTTTATTGTGGAATTATTAAAGGCCAGTGATTAAAAAAAGGAAAGAAAACCATCATGCAGATTAAAAAGCTATGTTGAGTAGTTTATTGCAAGAGTGACTAGATAAATCTCACCTAAATATACTGCAGTTAACAAGGAGACTTAGAGGTGGAAAGCTGCCCTATCTGATCAAACTACCTTGCCTTTTGAGAAAATCAGGGTGAAAAGTAAACACATATAAACTTGGATCTTAAAATAACAAAAAACTTCTACTTATTATATTGTGCAACTATGATCTTTTAAAGTGGTGGCCTTAGGAAAATCTGCTTTGGCAAGCAACTGCAGAGGCTCCTGTGGAGAGGAAGTGAATAGACTGGGCTTATATACAAGGGCTGCTGGCACGTTCAAAGCGCAGGGGATAGTTCACAGATCAAAATGCAGTCCTAAGTAAATGGGTTTCAGGCAATTTCGGTGTTAAGATAACATCATTAAGAATAGAACAGATTGTGCTCAGACCCTGCTGTTTATAATTAACACGTTCTTTCCAAATACTCCAGGGTCCCTGGTAAATAGTCTTCTGCTCACATTCACCCAGACCAATCGGAGTATTTTCATCAGATTCCATGCTGGGCCAGCACCTGTCTGGACAAATCCAACGGAGCCAAAGAGCTCCTCTCCCAGGCCAGCTGAGTAGCTGGATGAGCACAGTTTGGCTTAGTCATTGTCACAGTGTCCATATGGCTTTGAAGCTTGTTTTCACAAGAAATCATACAAGTATTTTATTATGTCAAAGTTCACCGTCCTATAAACAAAAACAGATAGTATGTTAGCATCCTCACCCCCTAGACTGCTCAGCTTTGTATGTATGATTCTGAGAAGCACATGCCAAATAATTCACAACTAATGTTAAACAACGCTATGATACTGTCAAAAGCATCATGACAGAATTAACATTGTTTTTTAATGTCACTGGGAACAGAGTTTCTTTAAAAAGTTTCCCTCCCATGCATAAAGTTTGCTTTTCTAATAAAAGTAAATGAAGTCAGAACTATCCAACATTCATATATTTCAATTATAGCACAGCAAGTTTGGATTTCATTTGAAAGCTATTTGCTTTTTGTCTAATAACCAGAATAAAGCAATTACAGATGCAGCAGTATTTAAATCTTCTTTGCTTCTGAACATTGTTTATCTCCCAAAACACCTGTTTTATCATTACATAATGCATAGCTCATCTGTCCTCATTTGTAGTTTTCATTCTTTTCAGTCTTTTTACACTGGCTGACCTGTGTGTGTATTGTAACTAAATCTGTATGATCCAAGAATACGATAAAACAAACAGACGATATGAATGTATATTTTTGTACTCTGATGGCAGGCAGAATAAAATAGCAGAAGACAGAGACATATAATTATTTTCCTTTCTCTAAATTCATTCTTCACTATAGACATTCAGACTTGGAGGTTTATTATTTGAATAAATGGTCAAAATAATTAGATATAATGATCTAGCAATAAGTATAAAATTAAAGCCTTAAAGTATTCAATTCTGCAAAAATAATCATCCATATGAGAACAGCCTTTTAAAGATTCACTAATTGCATGCTCTTATTTATTAAACCATCATTAATTGGTGTTTTTGTCTATCATTTTGTAATACACTTTCTAAAAAAGTTTCTAAGCAAATGACTGACATATCAAATTTTTTTAAAAATCAAGAATAGGGAACTATAGATACTGCTTATGCAAAAACATTTTAAAATAGCTCAAATGAGATGCTACGGCTTTGTGGCACCTAATGATGGAATGAAGAGTACTTTAGTTGTTTCACTACAACAGTGCCTCTCTGAAGAACACCAAAACTTTCCCAATTGCATAAAAACACTGCCAAAACACTCCTGTTATCATTGGGGGTACTAAAACAACTAAAAATACTTACTAAAATAAAAAAACAACAACTTATCTTAGGCATAATGTCACAAAAGGTATGGTTATTATATCATAAAGCTATTTATTTTTATGTGCTTTCCTTTCATTTACTATGTGTTAGTGGTGTTATTTGCTCAGTCATATCCAACTCTTTGCGACCCCAGAGACTGTAGCTTGCTAGGTTCCTCTGTCCATGGACTTCTCCAGGCAAGAATACTGGAGTGCGCTGTCATTTTCTTCTCCAGGGGATCTGCCTGACCCAGGAACTGGACCTGTCTGAGCCACCAGGGAAGGCCATCACAGAGCTCCCCAAGTTTACGAGTAACAAGGCACCGCTAAAATTACCTTTTCAAAAGTCAAGAAAACATTTTTCATGATTGGTTAAAAACATCTTTTTCAGAGGGTCTTAGAAGACAAAAGACACAGTAGGCTATTTTTAATCATAGGCAAAAAGGACGGTTGGATTCTTACATCTCTCCAGGCACATTTCCCTACAATGACTTTGGGTCCTATGGTTATAAACCTTAAGTGACAAAGTAAATTGAACTTAATGTTAAGTTTTATTGTCTTTTGGATTTATTAATTTTTTTCCCCACTGAATAGAAAAGAAAAAGTTTAAAGAAGCTATGATTAAAATTAAGTTGCAATACTGTGGAACTAGAAGGCATTACTTGATAAGACTATTACAAAGTCATACAAAATGATCCATATGAAGCCATAACTACAATATTATGAGAGGTAAGGAGAACAGAGAATTGCAACTATGCTGTGATAGCTAAAGACAAATGTTTGTGTAACAGACTAGTACTAGAATATAAACAAATGAAAATACCGTGATTTGTTAGTGGCAGAACTCCATCTTATTTGATAATCCATTTGTTTAACACTGCAGCATAGTTTGTGCAATAAATTTTTCTTTATAGAATGACTGGACTGGCTTAAAAACACTAAGCATTTGTAAAAGGTTCATGACATTCTATTTCTCTGCTTTGCCACTGGGAAGTACTCAAGCAAATTGAATCATACAGTTAAAGTTTTTGGACTTAAAAAAAAAACTAAATTAATTGGGAATTGAATATGTAAGATCATCCCTCTAAGAAACATTTACTCCCAAGATGCTAACTACCTTTTCCTATCATCCCTCCACCCTCCAATATAAACAGGTAACTTACTAACTGATCCCCACATGTATCATTTTAAGACAGCAGAATTTTACAAAGTAATTGCAAGGGCAACATTAAAACTGGACACACATTCCAAAGATAGTTTTTAAATACTATAGAAGATTCTCTCTCTCCCTGAACACAAATTAATTATTTTCTAAAGTAAGCATCTAGAAAGAAATAGGATAAACAAAAATAGTGTTGGTGGCATTCTGCCTAGGAGTCATTCTTAAATCAGAATTTAGACTGCTTATAAGTTAATTACATGGCATGTATCTAAGGATTTAATTTTGCCTTTATCCTTTTATTTCACATTGTTGATGCTTTTACCACAATGACATACTTTTTTCTCTTGGGGTACTATTTTATTTCCTTTTACTTATGTAGGCAGTTTGAGTTTTTCTTACTTAGTTTGGTTTTTCAGAGAAAATTTGCAATCACACAACTTTAAGTTACAATACTAAGTTACTTTGCAGTGTCTTTCTAGACTGTGGAGGGAAAACAATCAGAAACTTCAACTCCCGCTAACATTAAGAACGATTCAAGTACAGTATTTATTAAGCATGTTTTCATCTTCCATACTCTACCCTCCATATTCTGTGCTCCTTTCTAGAACCAGTCTCCTACTGCTTCTGTGTTCAAATCTTTCACAGTTCCTTGGTCAAGAAAGTTCTCTCTGTCCTCTACCTCTTCCTTGAATGGTTTTCTTTTCTCAACCAGGCTTAACTGAAAGTTGGCTCCCACAGAGGGATCGAGTCTCCTCCTTAGCTCTTTCCAATGAGGTTAGACTCTACTATAGCCCAGGCAGTCCTGTCATGTGAGACTGCTGTCCTTGTACAAAAGGCTCCGCTCCTGTGAGACTCAAACCATTCCACTAACCAGCCTTTATCCCCCTGTCACCACATCTTAGTGAATAATGCAGCATCCAGTTCAGTCTTCCTCTCTATTCCAAGATCTGCCTCAGCTTTAGTGACTTCATTGCACTTGTCCCTTTTACCTCCAATGATCTTTTCTACTCTCATGATCACACTCAGAAATGTTCTACTTCTAAAAAACATAAATTCAGACATTCCACCCTGATCCCAATCTCCTTTAAGTGACCTGGAACACCTGGAAACAACCAGTTTACAAACCTCTCTTCACCTTCTCCTCATCTACAAATAATTACTGAGTATTAAGTGCGAGGCACTGAACTATTAGCCCTCCACATGCTTTACTTCCTTTCTTCCCTTCTTAGCTTAGATTCCATGGTTTGTCACCTCAAGCATGCATTTGCTAGCATCGACTGAATTCACCTGGCAAAACCCCAATCCCATGTGATTTCAATTGCACTCGTTTGCGGTCCCAGTACCCAGCACATGGAATGCTGCTGGAGAAGAGCACGTTTCACAGATTGGTGCCACTGTAGATTCAGGGTCAGGAACCCCAGCTGGGCCCTCAACACTCTCAGCAAGTTGCTTTCTTCGTTAGCACTTTCTTCCATTCCCCACAGCAGCTATTTCAAATATCCGTATTTGTCTCAAACTGGTGTACTTCTGTCCTTAAGTCTCTTGCCTCTACCTTTACACATACAATAGAAGGCCTCAGATCAGAGCTCCTTCAACTTCTTGCCAACAGATATCCAAACTCAGTTCCATCTGAAACCACCTTTTCCTCTTGTTGTAATGAAAAGGATTCCCCTCTCTCATTCAAGGCTATTTCTTTACCTCATGTTTCTAAATCGCATGTTATATATCTTTTCAAGGACTTTAAGTTACCTCTCTTTTGTATCATTAACTCTTCTTCCCTACAAGTTTTTTCCCATCAGCATTTAAATATGCTCATATCTTTAAAAATAATAAGCTATTCATGCCCCCACAGCCTGTTCAGTAGGTAACAATCCTCTATTCCTCTTTATAGCAAAAATAGTCTAGAAAATAGGTACATGAGGACAGGATACAGATATGTTACACATTTTGCTACATCCCCAAAACCTAGCATAGTGATTATAATGAACATCACAATAAATCTTAAGTGAATAAAAAGTATTCTCTGCATGTGCGGCATCAACTTACAAATACCACTTAAATGCACCATATCCTAACTTGTACCCCACTGTATCGCTGAAAGTGTTGCTGTTAAAGTCACAAATGACAGATTTACCATTAAAATAGACTCTGCCTGATTTCTTGGCAGTAACCAACAATTTTGACCATTATTCCCTTGCTTTAGGTTTTTCTACCTTTCTTGGATATACAACTTTTTGTATTACTGTTTTAACCACTTAAGTTTGTATCATGAGTATTTTCCTGTGCTTTTATCCTTTAAAATTACAATTTTAAGTAACTTCACAATTTTTTAAATTATTTATTTTTGGAGAATAACTGCTTTATATTATGTTGGTTTCTACCATATATCAACATGAATCAGCTATAGGTATACGCGTGTATACCTCTCTTCCGCCGCCCACGCCATCACACCCTTCTAGGTTGTCACAGAGCATCAGACTTGAACTCCCCGTGTCACACAGGAAATTTCCACCAGCCATCTAATTTTACACATGGTAATGCATGTGTTTCAGTGCTGCTCTCAATCCTTCCCACCCTCTGAGAAGGTTTGAGTAAGTTAGTGATTGACACAGTCTCTGCTTTGCTCTTCATGGGCTTATAGTGTAGGAAGAAAAATGAGTTCTAATTATTGAATGAATAATTTAATAAAATAATGCTAAGTCTCAGAAAATAAGGGGACCTGGATAAACTAACTGTGAATAGTGTGTGGGAGTGGGGTGAAGGGCGTGGACGATGGGAGGTCATGGTATGTTTGAGGATAGCATCTTCAAGAAATACGCATTTAAACTGAAATCTAAAGGTTATGGAGCAGTTAGTTGGATAGAGGAGGATTTGGAAAGTGTTGCATATGCGAGGAATGGTGAATATGAAGAACTGAAAAAAAAAAGCCCAAAGTGGTCAAAGTGTAAATACCTATAGGAGAAGACGTGTGTGATAGGTATGGCTGGGCACAAAGGCAGAGGCCAAGTCACTGGGACCTTGAAAATTATTCTAAACATTTTGGTTTTTTATCCTAAGAGTTACAGGAAATTATAGAAGAGTTTTAAATAGAAGGGTGACATTAAATTTTTATAAGATCACTCTGGCAATAGTGTGGACAACAAATTATAAGAGAATAAGAGTAGACAGAAAACCAATTAAGAGGTTACCAGAGAAGAGAGAACAGTGGCTTGGTCTAGAGCATTAGTGGTACAAATGATAAAAGTGAATGAACTGAGATACATAGGACGGACTTGACAGGCTCAGAACGACTAATGCTTGGCTGCTGGGAGTGGGGGGCGGGGGTGACAAATACCACCAGTGACTACCAGGTCTTAGGCCTGCGCAACACGACAGACTGCAGTGATAATTACTGAACCAGGGGACACTGAAAGAAAGCTGCATCATTCCTTTTTTGTTGGCAAGCAGAAGAAGGGGGGGGGGGGGGGGGGCGCGGTTCCTGAGTTCAGTTTTGGAAATATATTGATACAGGTGGGAAATATCCAAAATTCAAGAATACTAGAAAAAAGGTCTGGCCTCTAAAAACTGAGAGTAAGATTAGTACATAGATAGTTGTTGAAGTCAGGAGTAAAGTAAAAATAGTCTAGGGAAAAAAAATATGAAAAGAGCCAAGCCTCAAGGAACATCTAAATGTGAAGGTTAAGTGGATAGGATAAGCTGACAAATGAGCCTGAGAAGGAACAGCCAAGGAATAAAGATGAAAATCACAAGATTGGACTCATGGACTCTAGGAGAAGAGTTTTAAAAGAGAGAGAGTGGTCAATCCTGTTGGGTGCCACTGAGAATAGATAGTCTGAGGGCTGGGAAAGAGGCTGGGAAAAGGGCGGAGATGGAATTCAGAGGGGAAGTGGAAGAGCCCATCTGACACAGGAGGCAGGACCCCAATCTACTGATAAAGGAAGACAGAAGATGCGCACAGACGCAGGTAGTGCAAGGAGTTCTCAACTCACAGGTTAACTTTGTTCTCTGAAGCAGTAACTGCTGAACAAAGCGAATACAGATGTTAGGACTTGTGGTTTGAATACAGTCAAGAATCAGAACCTAGATCGAAAAGAAACCTGTAAACCACATATTCTACTGTTCAATACATGTGGTGGAATGGCTGGGAGTCTGGTAGAAGATAATCAATTAGAAAAAGAGGGAAATAAGAGCCAGATTGTACAGGTCTCAAAGAAATTCAAATTTTTGCAAGAAATTGGGAAGAAAATAACTATCCAGAAGTGGCAACAAGAAGAAAGGATAGCACTTAAAGAGTATCCAATCCTGAGGGATAGGAGTTTGAGAAAATAAGAGGCTGCTACCAGAGATAACTGGCGGGCTTCCCGGGTAGCTCAGTGGTAAAGAATTCACCTGCCAATGAAGGAGACACAGATTCAATCACTGGGTTGGGATCTCCAGATCCCCTGGAGAAGGAAATGGCAACCCACTCCAGTATTCTTGCCTGGAAAATTCCATGCAGAGAAGAGCCTGGTGGGCTATATATATAGTCCGTGGCGTTGCAGAGTTGGACAGGATTTGGCAACTAAACACAAACATACACACACTACAGTATATACAAGTTGTCTGTAGTCAACTGCCCATTAAATCCTACCTTGCTACTACAGGACCATTATTCCAGTCTGTCTCAGACTCTCAGAATCTTGATTTTCGCCATATAACATGTTAACTAATTCTCCGAATTTTGTCATTTGTAAATCTGACGAGAGGGTTCATTCTACAGTGAAATAGTCATTCTCGGCACTTAAATGATCTTCTCTTGCTTAAATGACTAATGACATTACATTAGGAAGAAGATTAATTTTTATATTTAGTATATCATTTACATAATTCACGACATTTTACATTAACAATTATTCTATGCTTACCTAGCAATAGCTCTGATGAAGTCTAGAGACACTGTGCATTTGTATTTTGGTCCATCAAGCTGATCGTCATGGCCAACCAGGGTTAACAGCTGAAGGGTCACTAAAGAGGTAATCTAAAAATAAAAGTATTTTTATGAGAAAATGGTTTAACCAGATTGCATGATGTCCTTGTTTCTGAAACATTTTATAGTTACTTTGATAACAATATATAACGGAATTCACAAGAACATCTGCAAAGAATATGACTACTTTGAAATTTGTATACACAAATTTGTACATATGCTTAACTTCCTAGTTAATCAAACTAATGATCAACCTTTAAGGACTCCACTAGAGATAAATTTGTTTCAGCTAACGACACACATATGACTGCTAACCTTTAAAAACTATAAACAAAGGACATTCCTTCTTTCCATAAAAATTTTATGAACTTTCTATCCAAATACCTCAGAATATCAAATCTGCACTCCCTTGAGAATCAAGCAGTTAAAATGTGAAAGCGGGTCTTTTTCAGAGTTGAGTAGCTGGTTACATAAGAAATACATCCTTCAGATCTAGACTTCGTCTTGCTTTTAAACTGATCCTCAGGGAGATTAACACTGGCAAAAGTGTATTTTGACAAGTCAAAAATCAAAATCCAAAATAATTTCACGTGCACAATGCCGACAGAAGTATTAAATGCTCTTTAATCCAAGAAACAGAGCTGACCCAAGAGCTGGAATTCTTTGAGTAGCCCATTTTCTTTTCCCAATTTTTTTTTTTTTCTCATCTCCTATAGGCCAACAGAAAAAGAAGTCAGCGATGGCAAGGAGGAAGATCTTGGTGATCTGTAACTGCTGGTGACAGTATCTTTAATACTTAATCATATGCCTTAGGAATAAAAAAAAGTTCACTTAATCTGTGATCCATACCTTGAGATGCAGTAAACACTCTGAATGATAAAAACAGTAACAGTAGTAGTGATCTGCTTGGTACCAAGTACTCTATACACAGCATCTCATTTATGCCTCATGACCCTACAAGGTGGATGCTATTATACTTATTTTATAAATGATTCTTAGAGATGTTAAGCAACTTTCCTCAGACCCCAGAACTGACAGGTGGCTTAGTAAGAATTCAAACCTAGAGTTCATGCTCACTCTATTATACTACACATGCTATGTGTAGTATGCTCCCTATTACAATTTTAAAGGGGGAACTGTTATTTTATGCAGTGTTCAGTCAGCTGTCAATATTAACAACTTTTAAAAACTAACAGATGTGTAGATACCACAGTGTTATACAGAAAATACTATATTTAGCAAATACAAAGCATTTTTTCAATTAAAACTTACAAGTTTTATATTTTCTTAACTTTAGATAGCTCTCACATAAACAATATGCAGAGGGATATTTTTTATAGGCCAGTCTAACAACCTTTACCTTTAGGGTGGAATATATACTCTATTTCCTTTCACTGCAATGATATTCTAAAATTTTATTTCTACCACTGTGTCAACTTTTCTATTTTTTCTGTGTCTTTCTCATTCCTTTCTTGCCTTATATTGAACTGAATTATACTATTTTTTCATTCTACTGTTTTACTCTACTATCCTGGAAATAGTTTTTTTTTTTTGGAAATAGTTTTATACTCCAGTTTCCACTTTGATTTTTTTTCTTTTGGCCCCAAGCTATTTTAGAATTCTTTAATTTCCAACTCATGAAGTTTCTCTAGCATTTTTGACTTTTAAGAGGGGAATATCACAGAACGCAGTCTGTATACTAGCAATTCTTTGAAATTTGATAAGAAAGCTGGATTCTCCAGAGTGAGAGAAGAGTACACAGGGACATGAAAGCCACTGTGGCAAAGAATGAAACTAACACAAGTGGTCACTCTTCCTACGCGGCTGGCCAGGTCCCTTCCCTCTTTGTTCTAAGAATGTTGAGCTGATGGCAACTGAGTACAAACCATGCCCACAAATGCGATCACCTATGACAGGCCAGCAAGGTAGAGTGAGACAAAAGTTTTCTCTCTTATATACAAGTACGTATATCATAATAGTATCTTCCATTTTTGTCTCTTGGACTGCAAAGCCTAAAATATTTACTATGTAGGCCTCTTACTGGAAAAAGTTTGTCAAACTCTCTACATTGAAAAATTGCTAGATGCAGATAATTTAGCAATGTAGAAATCAAAATGTTCAGTGACTTATCCAAAGTGATAATGACTACATAATGGCAGAAACTAACTTGACTAGGATTTAGGTCTCCTAACTACAATTCTAAAACTTATGAAAAGAATGACTAAAATGTGATCATAGCTGAGAGAGCTAACTTCTAATAAGTTGTATTACAATCTTACCCAAATAAATAATGTGTTAAAAGAATGAGGATGATCTGTGAAAAAGGGAGTGTTCAAGGGAACAGACACGTCAGCACGTCTCCAACAACAGGACTAAGGGCTCCCTGACCATTAAATCGGAAACCTGGTGTGTACGGTAAGTGTCTGCTCATTTTGGAGGTATAGTTATACAGTTGTCATTCTATTAATGATTTTCTTAATAGTATTTAAAAGGTACATATGATTAAAGTTGATGAACAGATAAAAAATGTTAAGTTACTCAACATTTTTATAAAAGAGCTCACATTTACCTAGTTTAAGAGTTAAATGAAACAAAAAAATTAAGTTGGTTGTTAAAAATGTATGAAATAGTATTGTGCCCATTAAATGAGGTCATCTGTAAGGCAACTTAACACAGTGCCTGAAACACAGTATTCAATAATATGAGCTACTATTTATATTACTATCTATTATCTATTACCTATTATTAGTATCTATTAGCACTTTTCAATCTCAAATTTAATGAATAGGTTTCTTTTCTAATAACCCATTAATTTACTTAAAACTCACTGTATTTTATTTGAAAACTGTTTCATGTATTTCCTATAGCTTTCTGAATTATATGCCATGCTTAACTTATTTAGAAAATAAAAGATAAAACTACCTAAGATTAAAAACATCTGTATGGGCTTTCCTGGTAGTCCACTGGCTAAGAATCCACTTTGCAATGAAGGGGACACCAGTTCAATCTCTGGTCCAGGAAGACCCCACATGCCACGGTCCAGGAAGACCCCACATACCACAGTACAGCTAAGCCTGTAAGCTGCAACCGCGGAGCCCATGCACAGCAACTGCTAAAGCCTGTGTGCCCTGGAGCCCAAGCTCCTCAACAAGAGAAGCCACCACAGTGAGCAGTCCACACATGGCAACTGGAGAGGAGCCCCAGCTGGCACAACTACAGAAAGCTCCCTGGCAGCAACAAAGGCCCACGGCAGCCAAAAATAAATGTTAAAAAGATACATCTGTATGAGATTTTATAAACATTCACAACAAACTATCAATTATGAGTGGAGAGAGGGAAGGTGGGGGCGAGACAAGAGTAGGGAATGAAAAAGTAAAACCTACTAGGAATAAAATAAATAAACTACAATCATTATTGCACAGCATAAGAAATATAGCCAATATTTTGTAAAAACTTTAAATGGAGAACAATCTAAAAAATATAAAATTGCCATGCTGTATACCTGAAACTAACATAACATTATGAATCAACTATATTTCAATTAAAAAAAAATACTTCCGAACAGATCAAGAAAAGTAATGGGCACATATATTAATCCCTTTGGAAAAAATGCTCAATGTGTCACTTTCACCAGGAAATGAAGTGGATAAAAAAATGAATTGACAAAAAAGCTGCATAAAAAATATAATTAAAAATGATATGGCACATTAAACCCAGATATAGGGAAAATTAAGGAATATGTTGGTAGTTCTGAAAAAATGATACAGAATGCAAACTAAAGAGGCTAAAAAAAAATAGAAAAGACAAAATGAGAAAATCTAACATACTTCTAATCAAATTTCTGGAAGAAAAAGAGACCAAAAAAAGGGGCAGAAGTAATATCTGAAAAGATAATGGACGAAAATTCTTTGAAAAAGATGAAGAACACCAAATCATAGAACTGAAGAGCTAAATAAATCCAACAGGGAAAATAAAAAGAAATCAATACCTACACATGCCACAGTGGAAGTACAGAATATCAAAGATAAAAAGCTCTTAAAAGTAGCTAGAAAAGGAAAATCAGATTATCTTTACAGGACTAGCAATTGAACTGACAACTGTCTTAAGAACAACAATGAAAGACATAAAATAGTGGAACTATATTTTGTAGCATATTGAAGAAAATAATTGTTAACTCAGAAATGTATGCCCCCAAGAAACCAATCTCTTAAAACTGGGGATGAAATAAAAGGCATATTTCCAAACTAAAAACAATGGTGTGCCACCAAAATATTCCTACTCACTTAAAGAAATTCCTAAAATACACCTCCAGGGGGAAATAAAAGAATACAAGTTGGAAGGTCTGAAATTCAAGAAGGAATGAGGAAACCAGTAAATATGATGGTAAATCAATAAATTTTGCCTTGGATAAGTATAAATGTTATAATATTTAAAGCAACAACTAAGAGAACAGAAGTAAGGAAACCTGAATTATAAAAATCTAAAACTAAGAAAAAGAAACAAAAGGTAGGTAAGACAAATAGAAAGAATAAAACAAGATATCAACAAAATTACATTAGAAATTATATTAAAAGTTAACTAAATGTTGCAAATAAAAGTCAAAGATTAAGTGACTGAAAAATGGATATACTCTTTAGAAGAGATACAACAAAATAGAAGAATATGGAAAGGTTAACAGTTAAACAGAATGAGATACATGAAGCAAACTAAAACAACAAAGGTATATTAACACAGACAAAAGAGAATTAAAAAGAGATTTAAAGAGGGGCTCACTTAGTAATGACAAAATTCAGTCACGAAACTCCCATCTCTCACAAGATGAGTGGTGTGAGACTCTTACTACGAAGGGGTGAGACACAAAATAAGATGAGCAATCAAGGAATAATAGGATTTTTGGGGGAAAGTGAGTACTGCTAAAAGTTAAGACAAACTCATTATCCTTTCCAGTTTAGAAACAGGTAGGATTAATAATGAGAAAGTAGGTCTGAAATTGCAATAAATGGGAGGCTATATAGAAGAGTTAATATTATCTCCTATGGCAAAATATATTC